AGGCGGTGTCGGCGGCCGCGGCGGCGGGGCAGGGAGAGGCGGCGGCGGCGGCAGCGGCGCCAGCTGCGGCGCCCGCGCCCGCGCCCCCCACGGCGGAAGCGGCGGCCACCCCCTACGTGGGGCTGCGGCGGCCCTTGGGCTACCAGCTGGCCAAGGCCACCAAGGAGCGCATCTGGCGGGGGGAGTTCATTGACCTCTTTTCCTTGCTCCACACAGAGCTGACCCCCGAGCACGGCCCGCACCCGGGGGACACGCTGGACCAGTGGGTGTCGGCCTTTCTGGTGTATGCCAGCGTGGTGTGCGAGAAGCACCCGGCGCGCTGCGGGGCCATGTTCAAGTACCTGGACACCATCCGTAAGCTGCACGCCACCTACGGGGGCACCTCGTGGATGAACTACGACGAGGACTTCCGGCGGCGGGCGGCCAAGGACCCCAACCTGCCGTGGGGCGACGTCGACCTGGACCTGTGGATGAAGTGGATGGCCCCGCTCAAGTCGCTCCTCAGCAGGCACAATCGTTTCGAGAGCGAGACGCAGACCGCGCCGCCGGCACAGCCACCGCCTTCATCGTCGTCCTCATCCCAGAGCCCCAAGAAGGAGGAGAAGAGCCAGGTGTGAGAGCCGGCAGCGGGGTGGTTCCGTGGCCCCTGTGGTGCCCTTCGGAAGGGCAGAGAAGGGGCGACAGGAGCTGGGGCAGCTGCTCCCTATCCCTGTGCCCATGGAAGGCTTTGGCTTGGGCCTGTGAGATGTTGGACTGTGTCTGCTGGGAAGGGTGGGCACTGTGGAGAAAGGGACTGACAGCAGATAGCTGTAATATCTGTCGCTCTGCCCCTCAGGAATTGGAAATCACAGTCATTCTCTCCCCTGGGATGTAATCGTGTTTTTCTTAGGACATCAGAAGAAAAGTTCCCTTTTTTTTTTTTTTTTTTTTTTTTGAATTGTCTTTAAAAAAAAACAAGCTTTCTCAGCAATAAAATTGTACCTAAGACAAAGAGTAGAGGCCTGTTACTGTGGGAGCATGTGATAGCTGCAAACTGCGTGGGAGGCCAGAAACATGGGTGTCAGTGAAGAGGGACTTCAATTTGATAGGCCACAGCTTGCAAATTTACCATGATTTGGAGATGTAATTTAGTTCCAGCCTCTGTAGGTTTAGTCCACAAGTTCTGGCCTGTTTTGTGGAATGTGTGTGATTAGGGGAAGCAGGGGGGATTTTGTTTTTGTCAAGGATTTGCTTTTATTACAAGCATCAAGTGTCACTGAATTGGCATTACCCCAAACATACACAGGCAAATATGCTGTTTCCACTACTTGAGTGGTGGCAGCAAGTGCCAGTGGTATAAGAGTGCTGCCTATCCATATTTGGGGTTGTACTGCAGCTTTCAATTTTTTTTCAGAATACTAGGGGCTGGAATCTGTCAAATCCACTGTGTGGCATACACTGGAGTAGAATGTTGGAGTTTCATGCCAGTTGAATGATGGTTGAAGGATTCTGTTAGATTATTCATATTTATTTCTAAACTGTTTTTTTAGGCCCATAGGAAGGATTTTTGCCATCCGAAAGGATTTTGCTCAACAGATACCGTAGGATACTCAGCAGTGGTTAAAATAGTCTGATCTGGAAAGGGACAGTGTTTTCCAGGATATCCACAAGTGTTCAGTGCATTGCACCAACTCTTCACTTCTCTACCTAGCAACATCTTGGGCCAACCTGCAGGGAAAGGGATGGAAACTAACACCATTTAATGAATGCTGTAATAGATCCCAATGCCAGCCGTATGGCCTTGGTGCTGTCTGTGTTTGGTATTCCAGATTACGTAACTTGTTCTGTTATCTTTGTTTAGATGTCTCCATTCTTGAGAACAGCAGCTCAGTTTTTATTTTACTACTGATACTATGTGAGCACCAGATGGAAAACACCTCTTGTATTTCATCTTGTCCTGTACGGGATCTTCAGTTCATAATGTTAACTAGACCGTAACTCTCACAATAGCTGTTCTGTCAGTGCAGAGCTCCAGGCTGTTGCTGCTGGGCACCAGATATTCTCCGTCTCCTTTGATTTTGTGGAAATTTTCCAATTAATTTCCGTGTTGTCATTGACTTTATTTGCATCTAGAGAAGATGCTGGAAGCTATGTGAATTAGAATCAAGCTTGTTTATTTTAGCTACCTTGTTTATAAAATAACAACATTTGGCTTAAAGATCGGCTTGAATGTAAAAACTACAGTGCTATAGTCCCATAATGGAAAGTAAAAGTAAAACCTGTGTAGCCGCTGTTCATTGTGGGTTCAACTACTTCTCCATTGTTAGAGCAGTTTTTAATTGGTAGCACAGGGTATTTTATAACTTTTTTTTAAACAAGTCCTTAACTGAAACAATTGTCTGAACAGCTGTTAAATGTAGACCTGGGAAAAAGGTTGAGCTTGTTACTGGCGCAGCAGCAGCAGGGAAATGCCAGGTGACCTATGGGTTTCCCCCTCGCCCACACACAGCTCCTTGCGAGCTCTGTGTTGTGTAACTGCTTGAAAGGAATAAAAGGCTGTGACTTTATGTTTGGGCAAGAGTGTTCTCTAATTTAAATGTGAGAGAATAGGCTTTTGTAGTGAATAGACTTTGACCGGAATCTGAGTTTTTCTACCTTCGTCCTGTCAAGAAGAAGGGAAAATGTTTTACAGAGACCTTTTCTTCAAGATTGCTTGAATTGATTTTGTTTTCATGGCTTCAAAGGTTAGCGTTAGGCAGCCAGATTCAGTTTCACCTTCCCATTCAGCAGGACACTCCTTACGTTTCAGCTTCTTCAGTGTCTGTATCTCTCCAGTTTTGCAGTTCGGCAGAAGGTCAACCAGTAAAAATAACGTCAACAAAAATGAAAGGATGTATTTGAGGCCAGTTGTTATTTCTGGAGAGTGAGTAGAGAGCTGTAACTTCGCTTTGCATCTGGTAAAATAAGAAGCCCTAGTTTTTGTTTAAAAGCAGTGATTGGCACGTGTGTTGTAGGATAGCCGAGATTCATTCCTGCAAATCTGTGTTTGGATTATCTTTGGACAATTCTCAGTTTATTTTTTTTTAATTTCAGACTCCGTGAAAGCAGAAGGCCAGTTGGAATGGCAGGCAGAATAAGTGGGTGAGTTTATATATAAGACTGACTAACTTTGGTTTTTAAATATTTACAGATTTGTTAAATACAAAATTTCTTATTGGTGCCAACAGCCTGACTCCGTTGGTGTTTAAGTGGAGCTCTGGTATTCTAGTGCATTCTTTTACCTCTGCTTCTGTTGCGTTGCAAGCTGTGCTAGAGAAGACGTAGGAAATTCATTTTACCCAATCAGCAATTGTAACAATGGACTACAAACCTGCAGAGCAAGCCAGTTTGCTGGAAAACAGGAATTCCTGCAGCGCAGCACTTGTCACAGACTATCCAAAGAGGGCAAAGATTCAGGAAAGTGAATAAATTGAACATTGATTGAATGAGGTCAGGAACAGTCTCCCGGAGGAGAGCCCTGCCCTAAAATACTACTTTGAGAGTATAAGCCAATTTAATGCGCAGATTAACCCTTCTCATTTGAGCAAACTTGTGTGCAATCCTGGATCTTTGCAGATCACGACTGGACACTTCAAAAAAAAAATAAAAAAAATCTGTGTACTATATTTGCTTAAAAAATAAATCCTAACTTGTCTTGTTACACCTGTTAATTTTACTTTTTCACTGACAGTATCTGCAACATAAATGTATATTTGACTTAACACAGTATCCTACATTTGCTATAACTCAGGTTGTTGACAGAATTATTCTGTGAGGCTCAGTACCACCTCTTCATTCTTCTCTGAAGAAAATTCTTTAGCCATTCCTGTCATTTCCAGAAGTAATTGATAGCCCACTTATGCATTGCAAAATTCTTGAACAGATTTAATAGCTGACCTAAATTATTGCTCTTGTTTTATCCTCATAGAATAGTTAGCATCTTGAACATCAGACCAAACTTTTGTGGTCTGGTGTTCATGAAAATCATTCATTGGTTCACGGTTTAATTGTTTTACATCTCTGTATTTTGTTTTCTTTTCCTTTCCCCTTGCATACTAGGGAGTATGATCAAGGTAATACTATGATCCAGTAACGCGCTTGATGGTAAGGGTATGCCTTTAGTTGTTTCAGGAAAAAAAAAAAAACAACCAACTGCCGTTATCTGCTCTCCTTTAACTCTCTTGATAGTTTCAATAATATGCTTAACATGAAGTGTTTGTAAATCAATTAAAAAAAAATGTTTGTGACTTCACCTAAATAAATTTTTATATATATAAATACTGTTCTTGATCTTAGTCTTTGTTTTTTTTTTCCTCCCCTCCCTTGCATTGTCACTTCCCGTTCTGTAATCACTTTTTTCCATGACCTCTGAGCTTTTACAGAATTTGTGATGTTTCAATTAGGAAAGCAAACCAGAGCCATAACTGTTGTCTGGAACAAAAATCAGCCTTTGAAATTAACTTTCAATATTTTGATATTTGAAGGTTGTAACTGTAGTTGTCATAGCTTATTTATGTTTGCCGTTTGGTGAGATAACAGGCCTGGATCTGTCTGACAGTCTGCAGTATTGAAACACCAGTATTTCAAGTGGTCTCTGAAATGGGATTGTGATCCAGTGCAGCCTGATGCTAGCATTCAGTAGGACAGAATGTAGAACAGTTTTGCAAATGTAGTTACAAGCTGTAAAAATCTTTTCATTTTTGAGAATGTGCTTAAGCTCAGAGTAATCACATGCAGCATTTTTTCCCTGTTCTGTTTTCTTAAGAAATTGAATTTTTGTTACTTGCTGATCTCTAACACCAGCAGGATCTGGAGGGACGGGAGGGCATCAGATGGCGGGAGAAGCAAGGAAGGATGAGCAGACATTGGTCACCTTTGTCCCAGTGACAAATTGCACAAGTGTGAGTTTTAACCTACTGACTCAGGGTGGTGAAGCAGCATCTGTGCTTTTCCTGCCTTACTTGGGAGCAGCACATCCAGCTGGAGTCTGTTGCATTTCCTGTGCCCTTTGCTGAATCCTTCTGCCAAGAATCTTGGTTTTGTTTGTCGCTCTCTCCAGTCCCTATGCAGGCTGGTGCCCTTCCTGGCACACTGTCACCTCCCAGTTTCCTGGCTGGCTGCTGAGACTGGGTCAGACCACCCTGTCTTCTGTGACTGTTGGAGGCCATTTCCAGGGCTCTGCCCTTCTCTCCAGTGTTGTTGACTGTTTTAAAATTGCTTCCTGCTTTCAAAAGGAAATTTGTCTTTCAAATCGTTAGTGGTGTTTTTATGACATACAGGATCTCCTCTTAACCTCCCCCTGCCTTTTTCTTTTTAATTCTAGTTCTTCATAAACTTGGCTTTCATCAGTGTCTTTGAGCCACTCAGTAATTTCACTGTGTGCCCTTGCTTTGGTGTTGACTGCTGGACACGTGCTTCTCTGCTTGTTGCTTGCAAGCTTCTGCATGAAAATTCCCTTCCTAGTTTCTCAGTTCAACTTCAGTGAGTTTCGTCAGTTTGGAGCAGTTGGTTACTGCTGGATGTGCTTTTGACAATGGCTCTGGGTGAGTCCTGCTCTTGTCCTTGGGTTGCTGTGTCCCTGTTGGATCAGTGTGTTGGCTGTGTTGAAAGGAGTGGGTGCAGAACCTCCAATTTTTTTGTTCACCACTGATTGAGTAGATTTCTTCTAGTGATTACAAGCCAAGCTTGCTGTCATTTACATAATATAGTGGGCAGCATAGAGATGTGTGCTGTTTAAAAGCAGGCATTGAGGGTAACCATTTAACTGAGTGATGTGTGAAGAACACAGCATAGAGTAGGTGAGAGGACTAGAGTGGAAGTCGATCCTGACTTTATTATCCATACACTATGACTGTAGCAGAAATTGGGCAAACATAATTTTTTAAATACTCTTTTGGTAACTTCTGCTACCTAGGTAGGATGGGAAGATGCTCACGCTTCAGTGTTACTGCAATTTCTGATGCTTTGCTTGAAATAAATCTTGATCATTTGTATCAAGTGGCAGCAAAGATGGAAGACTGATGTAATTTCCAGTTGGGAAATTCCGAAATGTGTGGATTTGTTAGGGAGGACCAGCATGGTACAGAAAAAAGTTTTCTTTCGGTTGACTGGAATAGTGTCGCATAGTTCAGGGGGTGATTTCAGATTAGTTAATTGTTAGGGATTTCTGGCAAGACAGGTACTTTTTTCACAGATGTGCTTTTTGTGGACTGGTTTGATAAGCATTTTTATTGCAAAGTGCTAATTAAAACCAGTGCAGCATGACTGGCAGCACTAAGTGTGTTGCAACTTGGAAGGGGATGAGACAAAACTGCGTAAACATGGGCAAACTTGCAGGGCCAGGGAGTTCAAAGTCAGTGTACAGCAAACATAGAGTCAAATCACTGGTTGTTCGACTCCAACTGTGTGCAGCAGTGAGATGCGAGCATCTGAAAAATGAGACTTAGCACTTCTCTGCCCTTATCTGGTGTAGTGATGGGTCATAAATGTAAGTTGACAGAACATTTTGCACATGAGGTAGCCCTTCACATCTGCAGTTGAGGAAAATTATTCCTTCTGGGCTCTGATGAAATCCTGTTGGTTTTTCAGCATGATTCCAATTCAAGCCTAAATTGTTGCTTTCCTATCCTGCTTTTTCTTCCATTACCTCATTGGCTGTGGTTTTCTCCTTGATAAAAATCTGGTGAACGCACCAATGTGTTCTGAGAGCCAGCCTTAGGATCAGGCAATGTCTGCTGGGCTGTCTGCACACACAGGGCCTTTCACACTGATGTGTGTAGTTATACCAAGTTAATATGGTCCGTTAGGAATAAATTTCATAAACATGTAGGTTAGCTTGCATCTAACTGTGTGGGTGGAGTACACATGGGAGACTTGAGGCTACCTGCAAGGCTCATGTGTTTGTCAGGAGGTGGTGCAGCTATTCACAGACCTATCTATGCACTCCCATGGTAAAATCAAATCCAGAACCCCAGAGACTGTTGTGAGCAGTGAGTGGTGGGATGTGAGTCAGTGCTAAAACCAGAGCGTTTGTGGAAATGCTGCTTAGTAAAGTTATCAAATGCTTTGGGGGTCACCTGCTTAGTAGGGACTGCAACAACTGACAGTGCCTATGGGAGTGCTTTTGGCAGTTCTTTTAGCAGAGCATTTATGTTCCTGAAAATTTGATTATAGAGAAATGGTGATTATAGAGAAATTACAAAGCTAGATCGTACTTTTCCCCTCTCATTTTGGCTCTTTAGTTTGACTGTCACAGCGTCCCAAAATTCAGTGTGCAGTAGCTGAGCACATACATTCTTATGCGTATAATTTTCTGGGTCTAGAACTCTTTTCTATTCACTTGGGTTTTTATTCTTGGGTGTCCTCACCAAAGCTGGTTGGCATCTTTGTACTGTGGCAATCTACCGGGCAACCAGCAAAGTGGTATCTGAGGTTTAAAAAACAGAAGCATGTATGGTGTCTTTATAATATTCATAAATTTGAAATATTTCAGGAAGTACTTGTACCTTTTTTGTGTGGTTCTTGCTTTTTCTTCACCTTAGAGAACACTTTTCTTCTTCCCAGTGTCTCAGTGCAGTGTTGCTGTGTGAGTATTTCTGGGGCATCAGGGGGAATGCTTACATCCAAACAAAATCTGTTTTCTTTGAATGTTTTAATTGTGAACATTTGAGGCCATAAAATCCTTTTTGCTCAGTCACTCTTTAGCTTAATTTGTTGCATTCTGTGTAGAGTCAAAAACTCAGCATTCACTGCAAGGTTTTTTTTTTCTTCTGAATCTTGTAACACTACTACTGGATCTGCACCTACTTCAGTGGATGTCAGAAACGTCACTGTCCGCAGTCAGGAATGACTGTTTAAAAACTGAAACATGGTTTGTAATACACTGTTAACTTGGTTGCACACGAAGCTTCAGTGTATTTACTGTGTGACTTTTTCTTCAAAGGCAGATAGATGCAGGCAGATGAAGGGCTGGTAGTGCTGACTATGCAGCTGGTGGGGCTGTGGTCTCTGAGCTGCAAGGCAGCATGGTGGCAGGGGCCCTGGACTGTGTCTTCCCCTATGTATGGGTCTTCCAGGTGTGGGCAGGACAAGACAGCTTCCTCAAAGGGTCTAGCAGATCAAGAGCTCTTACCTCCACGGCCCAGGCTTTCCACCCTTCGTTACTCTGGCCTTTATCTTCTGCCATAGCTCCCTCTGCTCCTCTGTTTTGTTTTTTCATTTGTTTGTTTTTTCCCCACTCTGTAACAGTCAAATGTCAGTCGTGCTCTGGTGCTTGGAAGGAAGGAAGGAGTAGCACTTTGTGCACGCAGATACTGTTCTCTACCCAATGTGTGTCTCCTGATGATTATACAGTGTGCCAAACAGGCTTTTTTTCTTCTTAAAGCTGAGGAATGAGGTTTATACAACTATTTAACAGGGTTTCTGGAGTTAGAAATGTTTGCAATCTTGAATTCCTGGCGATGGAATATAGTTTGGTTCAAGGTTAGAAACTGTGTGGGGTGCTTCTGCTCAGAGAGTGCAAGTGTGTATCTTGCTGCCTTTGGTGTGACTGCAGATAATGAGAGAGAGGGATTTGAAGCAATGGGTTTATCAAAGTGCTCTGGATTGAGAGGAGAAGTATTTCACATTTCTCCTTTCCATGTTATTTTTCACATCCTTTTTTCCTCATCAGCAATCTCCCAGGTCAGATGAGTGTTCTGTTACAAGCTACTGGTGGATAACAGGAGAAATCTTCATTACATTTGATCATTAAAGGAAATGTGTGACTTTTTCATCTTCAAGATAGAGATTTTCCATAAGAAGCACAATAAATTTGGTGGTGTTGAAGGGCAAGAAGGTGGCTTAAGGGGGTCCGGTCTATCCTCTTCTTTCCCTCTAAGAAAAAGGAGACTCAGCTAAGCATCTTGATGTGGTACAGGTCAGTGAAAAAAACTGCTTGTCTTGAGGAAGTTTGGTAATGAAAGGAAAATAAAAGCACACATACTTCCCGGTGTGCAATGCCCTGAAGGCCAATATGTGAGCAGAAGCAGCTTTCGTGGGTAGGTGAAGGTGGGCAGGCTGCTTGTCCACTCCACCAAGCACAAAGGCACTTTATGGAACTGGCTATAGAAAGATTGCTCCTGTTGTTGCTTCTTAGCAAGGAGACAAAGTGCTTAGCTGGTATAACTGGAATGTGCAACAAATAACAATGTGCAACCTACAGTTGCAAATGCTTTTTTTGCTAGGAGAGTGGGTGGTAATTTGTATGCAACATTTCTGAAAATGTGTACTGTGCATTA